TATTTCATGGCAAGATAAGAAAAAGTGCGAGGAAGATGGATATTATTCCATCTCGCTCGCACTATAGAAAGGTGGTCGTGACGGAAAAATCTTACACTTTTTCTCGCCTAGCCCCTATCCGCCAAATTCGTACTTACTTTTATTTCGTAAGTTACATAGGCCTCCCCATGAAGCCCACACATATTGCTTCATAGAGACTATAATTTGCCATAGTTGGACAATGCTGCTGCCCATTTGACACCTACATGATGATATGGGGTAGTGGGTAGTTTTGGTGCATAGTCTTACAACTCTGTATTGTCACAACACTTTAACACTTGCAATACCAGCGTGAAACAGCTGTATAATGCTCCTGTGTTTGTACGGTGAGTGGCGAGGATCGGAGACATCTTTTTCTTCTTCCTCTCCTTTTCTGTCTCTGTCCTCAGAGTTGACAGCGTATCCGCAATTTGATTTTTAACTAGCTGTTCCCCGCGACTTCGCCCGCGTGTTATTTGGGGTTTTAATATTTTTGCGCGGAACCCTATTTCTTTTTCTAAAATAAAAGTAGCCTAAGTTACTTCTTGTGACATCAGCTATCTGCCAGTGAGAATCCCGTCAAAATCTGTCCAGCCGTTTCGGAGATTAGCCGGAACAAACAGACAGATGGACAGACAGACAAAAGCTTTAAAAATTGTATTTTTGTTATTAGTACCGTATATACTTTCATATGCATTTAGTAAAAAGCTGTTATTTTGAAATTACAAACAGACACTTCAATTTTATTTATTTCTATAGTTTTTAATTGACAATAAATGTAGATGTGAAAACGCATCTACATTTTGATTTTAAATTGTGATGTCTGTGTCTATGGGTCACAATATCCACTTACCATCAGATGATGCTCGTTTGCCACCCTTTCTTCTATTAATAATGCGGTATTTGAACACGCTAATTCATCTTGACCCGAAAATATTGGTTTCATTGTAACACAGGATTATTTATCAAAGAGTAGCCAAATTTTAAACTTAAGTTTAAATATATAAATAATGATATACCGTTGTTGCAGTTTTTGAAAATACGAGTAAATAAGGTTTCTACTTTTATTTGAAATTATCCCAAATTGAATGTGATTTATGAGCAACAACGATTTTACCTACCAATCGACCCGAATGTGTGAGTGTGCAGTAAAATCAGTTAAAATAATGCATTACCATGCATTTTGAATTTAAAATATAAAAGAATTATTGAGATTTTTTAAGTTAAATTTTCTTTATTATTTACTACTAGCTGTTCCCCGCGACTTCGTTCGCGTGTTAGGGTTTTTATGTTTCTGCGCGGAACCCTGACTCTTTTTCTAAAATAAAAGTAGACTATGTTACTCCTTATGAAATCAGCTATCTGCCAGTGAAAGTCCCGTCAAAATCGGTCTAGCCGTTTCGGAGATTACCCGGAACAAACACACAGACAGACAGACAGACAAACAGACAGACAAAAATTTAAAAAATTGTATTTTAGTTATAGGTATCGTATTTACTTTCATATGCATTTAGTAAAAAACTGTAATTTCGACATTACAAACAGACACTTCAATTTTATTTATTTGTATAGATTTGCCTATATTATTTATTTTTACCTTCTCTGCAAATTTGGCCGGTTATTGCAAAATAACCCTGTATATTTATGTATTACATGTTACGGATTTAAACCCGCAACTTTTTGGTCAGAAACACAAATAAAACTTTAATACAAAAATTGTCAAAGAACAACACAATCGTGGTCTCCGTGACCTTAATTACCCACGACTATATGACAAGGCAAGCCGCAAGGTAAACTAAATTCAATTTCTTTACTACGTCGTTCTTCGTTTAGTATTTTCACGTTTTAAAAATATAATTATTAAACGAAATTATAGACATCTTCGGAGATTCGTTGGTTACTCAAACAAATGAGACGTGATAAAATACTATAAGTACAAACTTTTTGTAACTCTATAATCTATATCAAGCGGAGTCCTTTTATACGATGCAACTTAAATAGTTTATAAAATTGAAATAAATTATTAAAGTTGTGAAAATCAATTAGCTAAAATCAGTATTCTTTTTCAATTGGATTGAATTAATTAATTTTCACATATTTAATATAATGGATTACCGCAAAAAATAAAAGAAAAGTAGAAAAAAAAAGAGTTATAGAAATAGAAGACCCTAGAATTTTTGCTAGTTCTCAGAGCTCTTGTTATTGCGAACTGGTGTAGATTTCGACGTCGAAACTTAAATTTAATAAAAGTTTTTAAATTTATAGTTTGAGTTCTTCACTCTGAATGATCTGTAGTTACTCCAAATCATTCAGAGTCAAAATTGTTAGAAACTAGCTCTTCCCCACGACTTTGGCCACGTGTAATTTATGGTTTTAATTTTTTTTGCGCGAAACCCGAATTATTTTACTGAAATAAAAGTAGCCTAAGTTACTCCTTATAACATCAACTATCTGCCAGTGAAAGTCTCGTCAAAATCGGTCCAGCCATTTCGGAGATTAGCCGGAACAAACATACAGACACACAGACAAAAAATTTAAAAATAGTGTTTTTGTTATAAGTAACGTATATATATACCTTCATTTGCATTTAGTAAAAAGCTGTTATTTTAACATTACAAACAGACACTTCAATATTATTTATTTGTATAGAAATGGTCACTCTTTCCACGGCTCTACATTTAACAATGAAAGTAAAAAGTAAAGTATGTTACAGCTTGCATTATATATCTCACCACTATGACTGCCACGTTAGTCTAGTGGTCGTAAACGTGACTGCCGACCATGAGGTTCCGGGTTCAAATCCCGCCGGATCGGACCAAAAAAAAAAATCAGTTATTGAGTTTTTCCGTCAAGAAATTCTCAGTTGCTGCCCGGAGACAGGAAGTTGGCGGCGTCTCACCCCCGTGCCTCGGAAAGCGCGTAAAGCCGTTGGTCCTGCGCCTGATCTCTCTCCGGTCGTGTCGGTTTACCGTCCCATCGGACTTTGAGAGTGAAGGAATAGAGAGTGCACCTGTGCTTGTGCATACACTTGGGCACTATAATCCTGTCCTGCGACGATGGCTAGTCTCCGTTGAGGCTGGCCACCGTGACCGAAATTCGGTCTAGAGGAGATTATTATTATAATTATAGAAAGTCTTTAATGTATTCAAATGTGATTTTCTTGACATTCTTTTAATGATGGAAGTGGAACTACGCTGTCGCTATATCATTGCTGCAACACGAACGAGTCGGCTCGACCGGGGAAGACCACGCTCTCACTAAATACCAACGTAAAATAGCAGCTTAGTGCTTCTTTTTTATAGGATAGGGTGACAAACGAGCACACAGCCCACCTGATGGTAAGTGGTTGCTGTGACTGTGATAAAGAATCAAACTGCAGATGCGTTGTCATCCGTGAGGACTAAGATGGAATGCCTCTTTTCCAGTAAAAAGGGTCTCCGGTTCTCTACACTCACCATATGAAACACAGCAGTGTTAAGCTGCTATTTTACGCTGGTATTCTGTGAGAGCGTGGTCCTTCCCCGGCCGAGCCGAGCTATTCGTGCTACAAATATACTACTAATATAACTGCAGCATGGCTCTATCACGTATGAATGCCATGTTTCGTATGGTGAGTGACGAGAACCAGAGACCCTTTTAACTGGTAATGGAGCATCAGTCTTCACGGGCGTCAAAGAATTTAGATTTTTAATTGATTACAGATATAGGTATATAGCTCGAAGAACCGACAACCGAAAGAAAGGTTCTCGAGTGGCAGCCTCGTACCGGCAGGCGAAGTGTAGGGCGTCCCCCCACTAGATGGAGTGACGACCTGGTAAGATATGCAGGAAGTCGATGGATGCAGGTGGCTCAGGACCGTGCTTTGTGGTATTCTTTGGGGGAGGCCTATGTTCAGCAGTGGACTTGTGAAGGGCTGTAATGATGATGATGATGATATGTATATAGGTCACATCATTCACTTAGCATCAGGTGGAATGTGTGCTCGTTTGTGACTTACTTCTATAAAAAAGAAATGCACGTTTTTTAACCGTCGAGCACGTGGTAAATAGGCATAACCATACAGTTGCAACTAGTAATTACATTAGCAACCGCGGCAATCCATGCGATATCCTCCAGAGGACAGTCAGAAATAAACCAAGAGATCCGCAACAGCGTCTTTATTATAATAATTAAAAATAAATAAGTGCGGTTGCCAACTCATACATAATTACGATTGGCAACTATTGCAATTATCCCCTATGCTGGAATTTATGAGAGAGGCGCCTATGTTCAGTAACGGACTTGTTAAGTTGTAATGGCTTAGTTAGAGAGATTAACGCAATACGTATGTAATTAATAAAATTGCTGGTGTACTTGTAATAATATCAAAATCGAAGCAATATTTTAAAAATAATTCTTTTATTTACAGAAATAATATCGATCAGATATTTACCGAAAAACTTTTTTATGAAATCTTATTGTTAGTGTTAAATGGTGTTAAACGACTCTACGTAGAGCAGGACTTCAGAGAGCTAGGAGTTAATACTAAATTCGTGCATGTTATATTATTTCAATCATTAAGAATATTCATTGAGGAATTTATGTTATGTATCAATATAACATTACATGTTAGTAAATCTCACAGCAGATAGTTTATTATATAGAAGTTGAGTTTATAAACATCACGCCTGTCTTGATACAGAATGGCAACAAACGATTGTGATGTGAGCAAATAACTTCACTATGACACGCATTCAATGCGACCGGGATCAAAGTAAATCGGGGTAGGTTGTGGTATGCGGTGGTTGGTGCACCCTGCACCGGTCTGATTGACGTAATTACTCGCAGGCGCAGGTAGAGGCGCGGCCGAGGGGGCCGGTCGACTTCAGTCGTGTCGCGTCCGTCGCACAGAGCGGCCGTGTCGCTCGTAACCAGCCCCAAACCGGCCCGCATGCCGGAGAACCAGTCGGCGGGATGGCGGCCCACGGCGTGAGAGCCGCGCTATGTTGAAACATGCACAGCGGCCGCCGGCGGCTAACGATGCCGACCACCGCTACCAGAACATGCCACGGCGGCCGCACCATCATCTATCGCTGAACGTTTCCACGTTAGACTCGTCCAAGCATTCGGTCGGTGGGACTTCGGCCAGCGTCAGTCCAGGCGCTCAGCCTGCGGCGCCCGCTCCAGTGCCCGTCGTTTCACCTATTCCAGTGGCCTCGCCGCCGAAACTTGCGAATGGAAATGCTACAGGACTGCAGCCTAGGCCGGTGCCGATCAGGAGTCGAAGTTCACGGGCCGCTACAGAGGAGGCGCTGACGTCGCTGGCTTTGCTGTGTCTCGTCAGTCTGCTCCTAGCACTGCTGGCGCTGCTGTTTCTCCTGAAGATATCCGCGCCCGCGACCAGTGCCCCCGAGGAGTTCGCGGTGGTGTATGAAGTGACACTAGCGTTGTGCGCGTTGACACTCTCGCTGAACCTCTGCTGCCTGCTTGTGTGTGCTATACAGTTTTTGTTCGCGGTGAAGCTGGTCCACTCGCAGTCGGCGCCGAACGGCCGGTGAGTGCATCAATCAGTTTGAACTGCCGTCTCTCGCGTCTTATCCGTTAAGAATACCACAAAACCGGTTGCGCTGATTGCGTACCAACGATAGTGTACGACGCCCGAGATGTTACCGCAAAATTTTAAATATTTGTTCGCTTCACGGCGTGTAGGATTAAACCTTATCGCGACCCATATTACTAGAGCCGTTCCATTCGCATTTATTTGTCTAAAGAACTACGCTGCCTGCGCCTGCATCAGTGTAGAGACAGTAGAGATATGTTTGTATCATTTTGCAAATGATGTCTCCGTTATTCATTTATCAGAGCCTATCAAAGTCCACTGTTGAATATAGGTCTACCCGAGATTGCCTCATAATGGGGATATTTGAAATAATTTCTACGCCTGGCAACCGGGTAAGCAACCGTAGTTTTATATTATTTTAATTTTTTTATAGAATAAGGGTGACAAACGAGCACACAGTCCATCTGATGGTATTGGATGCTGTGGCCCATAGACATCTACATTTATCCTCGATTAAGATTCAAAATACAGATGCGTTGTTACCCTTGAGGACTAAGATGGAATCGTTTTCAGTAAAACGGGTCTCCAGTTCTCTACACTCAACATACGAAACACAGCAATATTAAGGTGTTATTTTACGCTAATATTCTATGAGAATGTGGACCTTCCCCGGTTGAGCCGGCTCATTTGTGCTACAACCATAACATAGCTGTAGCGTGGCTCTACCACGTATAAAAGTTGTTATTAGAGAGATCCTATTGCTCACCTCCTGTTCCAGTTTCCTGTGTCGCCTCTATAATACTCACGGGATGATATGGGGTAATGGATTCTTTTACGGCGTCTCTACTTAAGCTGTAACTCTAAAGATTTATAGGTACTCTATCTCATATATCGTTGAGAAATTAATTTCGCATAAAAGCCCTAAAAATGTCTCGCGATTGTGTAACTCCTTACAAATATACGCACAACGATTAATTCTTGATTCGATTCGTTCAGGCGATAAACTTAAAAGTTGCTACTCTGCAGTCATGCGATTTACGATAGGTAATTTAAAATTAAAAATTTTGTACAACCGATTTCAATATAAATTAATAAGAATAATCAAAGCTTTTGGTCAGATCTTGATCAATATGGGACCACATGTAAAGAACCAGCTTTCAAATAAAAAAAGAATCATCGAAATTGGTTCTCCCAGTAAAAAGTTATGAGGTAACACACATAAAAAAACATGCAGTCTTTTGAGTACCGTCTCCTTTTTGATCTCGGTAGAAATCGGGAAAAATTTATGTTGAGGCAAAATATCTATTGACGAGTGCTATTCTTTTCCTTTTTTACTTTGCAATTAAACTTATTGTATATTAATACGAGAATTTTAAACTTTGCCCCCCATTTTAAGTATATTGTGCACATGGAGTGTGAGATTTATCATAGTAAAAGTTTATAAAGAGGAGTGCAGAAAGCTAAAATTTATACATAATATGTGTTACAAATACATTAAATTAAATGAAAAATTCATTGTTTACGTTCATACTGCCAATGTCAAATGTCAAACACATAATAGCCTATGGTAAAATAAGCACACAGAGTAGAGATAGTCACCAAAGAATTTTAAAATGTTGCCAATAAAATAATTACCACAGATTTATTGAATTAGCTATGAATTTTGTGCGATTTCCAATATTCCTTTTTCAATAAGCTGTGGAGTTTATGACAAGGCAAGAAAGCGTTTATTTTATGTATTAAATATTAGATACCTGTATTTGAATTACGGTCGAATTTCGACTACTGGGTGACTGATAGTATATTTTTAAACCGTTACACTCACATTTATACGTGGTAGAGCCATGCTGCATCTATATTATGGTTGTAGCACGAATGGGTCGGCTCGACCGGGGAAGGACCACGCTCTCACAGAATACCAGCGTAAAATAGCAGCTTAACGCTGCTGTGTTTCGTATGGTGAGTGTAGAGAACCGGAGACCCTTTTTACTGGAAACGAGGCATTCCATCTTAGTCCTCACGGGTGACAACGCATCTGCATTTTGACTCGTAATCGAAGATAGATGTAGATGTCTATGGGCCACAGCGACCACTTACCATCAGGTGGACTGTGTGCTCGTTTGTCACCCTTATCCTATAAAAAAAAAAAGAAAAAAAACATCAGGAATAGGACTTTCTCCTATGTCATGAAGTGATTTTACATATTGTATACTAAATTAACTACAGTGACAAATATAGTAAGAGATGCAAGAAGCCGATGCATCCAGCTTTCTCAGGACCAAAATTATCTATCAATGGGAGAGCCCAATGTTTAGAAGTCGAATTGTTTTTTTTTATAGAATTAGGGCGACGAACGAGCACACAGTCCACCTGATGGTAATTAGATGCTGTAGCCCATAGACATCTACATCTATCCTCGATTAAGAATCGAAATGCAGACGCGTCGTCACCCCTTTTTACTGAATACTTCGTTTTCACTAAAAAGGGTCTCAGATGCTCTACACTAACAATAAGAAACACAATGATTTCTTATATTTACGCGAACACTACACATTTTTTAATTAAAACTAACTTTACGGATTTTATTATAAAATCCGTAAAATTAGTTTTAATTAAAAAATAAGAAACACAGTAGCATTGAGCTGCTATTTACGCTGGTATTCTGTGAGAGCGTGATCTTACCCCGGTCAAACCAACCTATTCGTGCTACAATCATACTAGCTGCAGCATGGAGAGCCACGTAAAGCTTGTGATGAATTGTAATGAAGAAGATGATAATAAATATCCCCCTACTGGCAATCTATAGCTGTATTTATTATTGACGCTGCTCGTCTTTTTATAACCAGAAAACTTTTATGACGTCGGTCTATTTTTCGTTAGATCGTAACCCGCATTTATCGACAGCCTACAAGACCTTTGTGGCATGATAAAGATGTCCTCCATACTGTAATTCAATAATAGCGGCCAGTCTCAACAGGGACTAGTCCCCGCAAGAGTGGATTTTAGTTTCCGAGTGTGTGCAAAGTGCAAACACAGGTACACTCTCTATTCCCTCATTCTCGTAGTCTGATGGGATGGTAATACGACACGACCGAAGAGATCAGGCGCATGACCGACGGATTTACGTACTTTCTGAGCCACGGGGGTTATACGTGGTAGAGCCTTGCTGCAGCTATATTAGTAGTATTATTATAGTTGTAGCACGAATGGGTCGGCTCGACCGGGGAAGGACCACGCTCTACAGAATACCAGCGTAATATAGTAGCTTAATGCTGCTGTGTTTCGTATGGTGAGTCCTCACAGGTGACAACGCATCTGCATTTTAATTCGCAAACGAGAATAGATATAGATGATTATGGGCCGCAGCAACCACTTAACATTAGGTGGACTGTGTGCTCGTTTGTCACCCTATCCTATAAAAAAAAACCGCCCAATGCGAGTCGAAATCCGTAGGTATATAAGTTTAAAATTATTAAAAATATTTTTATTATATGATGTAACTAAAAATTTATGCTTTTCGCAATTTTTCCTTTATCTGTGCTATAATACGTTGCTTCCTACCAAATTTTAAGATTCTGAGTTCACGGGAAGTACTCTGTAGGTTTTGATTCCCTTGCGAATGTTGAAAATTTGCGGCATAAACGGCTGTATATTTTGATTTCTTTGGCTTAGAAGTTTGATTTTTTCACAGCTCCAAGGGACAGTAGACTTGAGTATTTCATATGAATTTCAGCATGATATCTCCACGCGTTCCTGAGAAAAAGGGTCTTGACAGACAGACAGACAGACGGACAGACGGACAACAAAATGATCCGTTTTTTTCCTTTTGAGGTACGGAACCTTAAAAACCAGCTTACATCCTGACTCCGGTTTGCAACTGAGAATTTCTTAACAGAAAAACCTAATAACTGATTTTGAAACCCAACCCGGGATTCGAAAACGGAACCTCTTGATCAACAGTCACACTTACGACTACTAAGTAGTCCAACGAGGCATTCGAAAGGCAAATAAATTTTTTTTATAGGATCAGGGTGACAAACGAGCACACAGTCCACCTGATGGTAAGTGGTTGCTGTGGCCCATAGACATTTACATCTATCCTCGTTTGCGAATCAAAATGCAGATGCGTTGTCACCTGTGCGGACTAAGATGTAATGCCTCGTTTCCAGTAAAAAGGGTCTCCGGTTCTCTACACTCACCATACGAAGCACAGCAGCGTTAAGCTGCTATTTTACGCTGGTATTCTGTGAGAGCGTGGTCCTTCCCCGGTACAGCCGACCCATTCGTGCTACAACCATAATATAGCTGCAGCATGGCTCTACCACGTACAAAGTTTTGTTTAATACTGTATAATGCTTGTCAATTACGCTTAGCAAGTAATTTTTATGATCAACTAGCGACCCGCCTGGTTTCGCCTGGATAAGATCTACTAGTGTTGCTTTATATAAGTATAGATGTAAGATATTCGTCAAAGACCATTTAATTTGTCAATTTTTCAGGTAAGATATAGCCAAGAACACTGTACGCATTCTTTTCTATTTATTCGTGAAGTTTCATTACAATCGGTTCAGTCATTCCGAAGATTAGCCCGGACAGACAGACAGATAAACATTTTTTTAATTATGGTCACTTATGTCTTAATCGTATGCAATGAAGTCCCTCAGCTCAATAACAGACAGTTGTATCGATGTTACAGACATTTCAATTTTATTTCTGTTTATAGATGTATTTTACGTTATCAGGTTTTATTCATTATTTATATTTTAGACGTGATATGTTCATAAACAAACAGACATACAATTCTAAAAATGGTAGAAATGTATTTAATTACTTATTTTTAGTTCATCTAAATCGATTCTGTCACAAAAATATACAATGTACAGACACCCGCACTTAACATTTTTATTATAGACTAGCTGTTCCCCGCGACTTCGTTCGCGTGTTAGGGTTTTTATGTTTTTGCGCGGAACCCTAATTCTTTTTCTAAAATAAAA